TTAGGTTAGCTTAGCTTGGGTTATGGTAGCTTAGGTTAGCTTATGATTAGGTTAGCTTAGGTTAGCTTTGTTTAGGATTAGGTTATGATTAGTTTAGCTTAGGTTACAGTTAGTTTAGCTTAGTTTGGTTAGCTTACCTTAGGTTAGCTTAGTTTGGTTAGCTTACCTTAGGTTAGCTTAGCTTAGGGTTAGGTTATGATTAGTTTAGCTTAGGTTACAGTTAGCTTAGTTTAGTTAGCTTAGCTTAGGGTTAGGTTATGATTAGTTTAGCTTAGGTTGCAGTTAACATAGCTTACATTAGGTTAGCTTAGTTTAGAGTTAGGTTATGATTAGTTTAACTTAGGTTACTGTTAGGTTAGCTTAGTTAGGTTAGCTTACCTTAGGTTATCTTAGCTTAGGATTAGGTTATAAGTTTAGCTTAGGTTACTATTAGGTTAGCTTAGTAAGGTTAGCTTACCTTAGGTTAGCTTAGCTTAGGGTTAGGTTATGATTAGTTTAGCTTAGGTTACAGTTAGCTTAGCTTAGTTAACTTAGCTTAGCTTAGGGTTAGGTTATGATTAGTTTAGCTTAGGTTACAGTTAGCTTAGCTTAGTTAGCTTAGCTTAGGGTTAATTTATGATTACTTTAGCTTAGGTTACAGTTAGCATAGCTTACATTAGGTTAGCATAGCTTAGAGTTAGGTTATGATTAGTTTAGCTTAGGTTACTGTTAGGTTAGCTTAGTTAGCTTAGCTTCGGTTAGCTTAGCTTAGGGTTAGGTTATGATTAGTTTAGCTTAGGTTACAGTCAGGTTAGCTTAGGTTAGCTTTGCTTACGATTAGGTTATGAGTAGTTTAGCTTAGGTTACAGTTAGGTTAGCTTAGCTTTGCTAGGTTAACTTACCTTAGGCTAGCTTAGCTTCAGGTTAGGTTATGATTAGTTTAGTTTAGTTTAGGTACAGTTAGCTTAGTTAGGTTTATATCAAACTTTGAGACATCAGTAAATAAAAGTTTAAATAAAAACATTTGATGGTTGTTTTGTTTCTTTTTATGTCTAATTTGAACTTCTTTATTTTGAAGAAGCGACACGGTCAGTTCATCCTGAAGACCCCTCAGACCAGGAGGTCCCCGTCAGATGTCTCCTGTCCGTCTCAGCCCATGTCCATCATCAGCCTCTCTGGGGACACGCCCCCCATCTGCCCCGCCCCCAGACGCAGCCATCCCCCGAAAAAACGTCAACCCAAAGACATCCCTGTTCAGATCTTCTCTGCACCACCTCCCTCTGCACCACCCCCTCCTCCACCACCTCCTCCTCCTCCCCCTCTCCCCCCGGCCATACCGCCGCCTCCTGCTCAAGCTCCGCCTTCTCCCGAGGACACACCCAAGCCCCTCAGCGAAAAGCAGGACCCTCAGTTTCCAGCCAAGAACACGCTCAAACAGAATCTAGGTGAGGCTGAAAGAAACGACACAGGAAGTAAAAAATCTGCTTGTTTCTCTTAAAGGAGGAGGAGTCAGGCTGTGGTGGCTGTGTAGGGTTCTTCCACATGTTACTGAGGTTCTTCCACATGTTACTGAGGTTCTTCCACATGTTACTGAGGTTCTTCCACATTTTACTGAAGTTCTTCCACATGTTACTGAGGTTCTTCCACATGTTACTGAGCTTCTTCCACATGTTACTGAGCTTCTTCCACATGTTACTGAGCTTCTTCCACATGTTACTGAGCTTCTTC